GGTCCAGTAGTTAAGCCGGAGAAGTATTGCTCCTGGTACGCTACCCCTTTCCAATTGAGTTGTCCGCTCGTTTTATGGCTAGTCTAGATACACCTCATCCCCTAGGATTTTTAAAAAAAAACCTAGAAGAACAAGCCACATGCCTGGTTATCCCTAGTAGGATCGTTTTGTTGCATCATGTGCATTTGACTTAGCGAATCTCTGCACAGGGGCCGGGTCCGTATAAGACAGGTATCCTTTTTGAGACCATCATGTTCACTTATGTGCTAATTGTTGCATCATTTGGAAGGCTTGCTTGCATTTGTTGGCCGGCTTTAGAAAATTAGTTGAGCGAAAAAAAAAATCATTCCCCCAGTTTTGTGTAGATAATTCGCTTTTACTAAATAAAAAAAATAAAATAAAAATGGTCTAGTCTTGGTTCGAACTACGCAGGTCCGATTCTCACAAGTCTAGTGGTGTACGTAGGCAACCTTTTTCGGGTTCGGTCCCCATTTTTTGCAAGAGTTTTCGAAATCGGTGTGTACATAATATTTTTCAATTTTTAATAGTAATAATAAATCGATAGTTTTGCTATTTTTGTCTTTTTCATTATTTTGTCTTTGCGTCCGATCATGTTTTTTAATACAACCTCAAAACCTTCTTCGGAACCGCCGAATGGCTGTTTCCATAAATTTAGCTAATATTTTATTATTTTCCCCAATGTTGAACCATTTTTGCCGAATTAGCCTTAAAACCTTTCTCGGAAGTGCCGAAGGGCTATTTTCGTACAAAATAATTACTTTGCTCCTTTTTTACATCTTTTACCATTTCGTCTTTATTTTTGTCCGTTTTTGCCGGGACAGCCTTTCAACCTCCCTCGGAAGTGTCGAAGGGCTATTTTCGTAAAAATAGTCATTTCCTTTTTGTCATGCCGTCCTTTGTTATCGGCCATTTTTGTCAAGTCAACCTTACAGTTTTTTTTTGAAATGGGTGTTTTCGTAAAAAATAAGCTTTATTTATTTTTAACCCCCTTATCCATGTGTTCGATTGTTTTTACCGGGACTGCCTCAGTACTTTTCTTGGAGGTACTGAAGAGCCATTTTCATAAAAATAACCATCTTGTCCTCTTTGTCACTTTTCATCATTTTGTCCTTTGTCCGGCCATTTTTTGTTTCCTCGGCGAGATACCTAAGTAATCCTTCTAGAGTCTAGCCTTCCTCCCATAAGAAGTTTGTCCGTTGTCTTATCCAAAAGTATGCTTGGTGTCATTTCTTTGAGTTTAGATTAGGACTTGACCTCATAATTTTATTTATATAGGTACGATATGGATTCAGTTAGTGGGAAACCTGACAAGAGGCCGAGAGATGAAGAGCACTCACCGTTTAAGATTGTCGACAAAGTGCCCAGTTTATTGAAGCGATGGTGGAACAACATGGATGGGTTTGATCAAGGAAAGATCAAGGATCATTTGAAAAACTTGGTAAACATTAGGGAGATTGAGCCCAAACGAGAACTCATCGAGGCTTTGATTTATTTCTAGGACCCGAAGAATAATGTGTTTCATCTCAATGGGTTTGAAATGACTCCAACCTTGGAGGAATTCGCTGAATATACAGATCTGGGTCGCAAGAGTCGAACAAAGAGACTTTTGGCTCCCAAGGATGTCACTGCTACCAAGTTCCTTGAGCAAATGTGGATCAGCCACACCGAGATAGCAAATGTGGCGCAAGGGCACGTCGCCTAGATTTCTTGTATGACAGGTACGGACACGAAGGGGGGGTTCTCAGAATATGGGAAGAAGCTGGTTAACAAACAGAACCAACACACATGGCGAGGCCATGGACGGAAAGCATTCATTGTAGCTTTCTTGGGGTGCATGGTCTTCCCAAGAGAGGATCGGAAGATCAACATTCGGTTATCTGGGATTGTCCCAGCCATGATGAAAAGAAATGATTCCTCCATTCTTCCAATGGTGTTAGCAGATACCTTTCTTGCCTTGACCAGGTGCTGGGAAGGAAAAGGTTTCTTTGAAGGTTGCAACCTCCTGCTCCAGATGTGGTTCATGGATCATCTTTTTCGTCGTCCTTATCAGGTAGACCACCGTACTTGTTGGGGTAATCATGTTCGCCAGTATAATGCTAGATTGAAGAGTGAGCTGGAGATTCGCAGTTTTCCAAAAAGTGTCCAAGATTGGAGGGAGTATCTTCACTCTTTAACAGATGATCAGATTACATGGAATTATCCTTGGTTCACCGTAGAATATGTCATATATAAGTCATCTTGCCATCCATTTCTGATCTTGATGGGGCTTCGGGGTTATCAACCATATGCTCCCATGAGAGTTCTACGTCAGTTGGGTCAAAAACAAATAGTGCCCCTGGTAGAGACTATGGAAAACTTTATCTGGGAAGCAACATCAGAGGATCCCAGTCGTGAAGCTTATCCTCAACGTGTTTGGAATGGCACTAAGATACTCGAGCATGGCACTATGGTGGCAGATCGAGAATGGGGTGAGCTGAATCCTTCTTATCTTGAGTGGTTCTATAATCAAGATGCTCTCGCAGATAGACCAGGGACAATCGTGAAGAGCACCGCAGAGTGGGAGGCTGAGATTCGAAACAGAGTTGGGCTGGCTGCGGAAAAGATGAAAAGGGGTTATGAATCTGCCTTTGGAGCACTGCAAGAAGAGCTCGGCATCGTTAAAGTAGACAGGGATCTGCTGTATGATGCTTTTGAGAAAGAGAAAGCTCAGTGGGCACGAGAGACACAAGAACTCAAAGCCCAAATTTGAAAAAAGAACATACTCACAACCGCTCAGCAACAAGAAGAGAGAGAAGCCTAGTTCAGGGTAGTCCGTGATCATGAGCACATGAGTTACGCTCCACTAATCAAAGGTTTAATGAATCAGTTAGAGGGAGTTGAATCAAGTAAGGAGCATCAGATCGGTGAGTTTGAGATAGAGAGACACCACTACCAAAAGGTGATCAATCGGTTGGAAGGGGAGTTACTAGAAATTCGGCGCCAGAAAGATATGGCCTTGGACAGCGAGCGTGATGCGCTGGATTTAGCTGAGACCCGTGGTCAGCAAAATCAAGAGTTGCATTTGGCTCAGGAATACATTAGGGGAAAGATCCTCGAGGTAGCCACGTATACCTCAAGAGCATGCAGGAGTTGCCAGGGAATGACGCCTGAGCGGTTTGCAGAAGTATCATTGAACGTTGCTCGTCATATATCTGCCGACTTAGAGAGGATATATGGCAATGTTGGGGGTCAGCCGCAGGAACAAGTGCCTTGATTACAGTGATGCTGGTGGATTCTACTACAGATATCAAAGTCTTCTTTTAGTTATCAGTCCTTTTTCATTATTCTTTTGTTGTTTTTGAGTCTGTAAGAGTCTTTTGGTGTTTTGAGTCTTGTTGTTTTGCCTTTTATCCTAAAAAGTCTGTTTGAGTCAGGTCTGGTCTTGTTTATCTTTATGTAATTCTTATTTTTTGAGTCTTGTATATATATATATATATATATATATATATATATTGAAAAATCAATGAAAAAGATTTTGTTTAGAAAAAT